TTCAGTAAAGCCTTTGCAGAAGAACTCATGGATGTGGTTAGAGACTAATGTGATGATGAATAGTCTTTTCCAGTTCTTGATGAGACATTGGGATCTACCCATTTTAGGTTGCTGAGAAATTATATGATGTGGTGATAACAATTTAGTTGCCTTAAGAAGCAAACAACTCATTACCATAACTATTCAAGAATGGATGAGCTGATCATCTGCCAGGAGTATGTATACAGAATGGCAAAGCACTTTGCTACTTATTAGATTTATTACTTTGGTCTAGTGACATAGTCACTCCTTAAAACTAAGTTTCCTCACAAGAAAATGTGGATAAAATATCTTCTCAATATTGTGGGGTGGTTCATATTTCATAATATTTTCAAAGGCAATTTGCACAATGTGAACCATTGTAAAGACTTGTTAGAATGAATTTCTCTGTTCTTTGGGAGGTTGCAAAGGGAAAGCAGTAATCAGAGCTTAAGAAATTAATACATTTATTTGTATAACTCTCTAAGACCTATTCTCTGTAATCAGTAATAGATGTTTTATAATCAACATTTATGTTCACTTAAATCTCTAGTTGCAAGATTTAAAATTTTGAATATGTTTAAGAATAGTCATACTCTCAGATGTAATCTGTTTTTCTACGATGCTAATCCTTTGGTGACTCCAAAATTTGAAAGAGGAATCTCAGTCTATGGCCATGCCACCCTGAACAAGCCTGATCCTGAGTCTGATCTCAGAAGCTAAGCAGGGTCGGGCCTGGTTATTACTTGGATGGGAGACCAGGTGCTGTAGGCATAAAAAAATAAAATATAAGGGATTGTAAGCTGACAAGGTCCTTGCAATTTGTGAGATCAACGAAGTGTTGCCTCGCTTTAAAAAAAAGAAGAAGAATCTCAATTGTTTTCCATAGTGAAACCACAGAATGATTTCAAGCCAAAAGATTTATAGGTACAAGATATACACTACCTATAATTACTGAATTGAGTATGTTATAATGCTAAACCCAATTTGAGTATTTTGAGTAACAATTTGTTGTACAAAATACTTCAATCACATTATAGTTGGTTTAACATTCCAATAATTAATTTTCTTAGGATTTGGTTATGTTTACTTTCTTTATTAAAGTTCAATTAAGAGAAATTGAATAAATACATGGAGTACATATTGTTATATACATTTTTAGTTGATACCTATTTAGCTTAATAATATTTCTTAAGGTCGTATGGTTTGTAAATGGTGGAGCTAGGATTCTGACCCAGATCTCTCTGATTTCAAAAGATTTTTCACATTGCGAAGATTTGTAAATTAACCTATGAATGGGTAATAAAACCTAGTTTTTAAAAGAAGCAAAGACATAATGAGAATCTGAAAGACACTTCAGTGACAAAATTTTTACAGATGATGTGATCTAAGGGAACTGTAAAGAAAGATTTTCCATTAACAAAAATATGTGATGAAATACTGTAATATATGTAGGTTTAATTTTGATTAAAATTTTCTAGGAAAACAAGTCCTGAAAATAGAAAAAACAATTTATGAAAACTTACTTTTTGCAATTTTGGGGACAGGAGAAGTGGCTGTAACTAAAGAGAGAAAAGGGCTTCAAAATAGAAAAATCATGTCCTTAAATATCGGCAACTTTAAAATTGTGACAAAGGCTGACAAAAAAGGATTTGAAAATAAGTCAGAAAATTACTACTTGGGGTCTTTAGAACACAAGAAAATCAGCATTACTGATCAGAAGGTTAAATTTACTCTAAGAGACTTGGCTTGCAACAAGGGTTTAAATAGATATAATTAGACATTAAAACATAATTCACATTTTATCATGGAAATTTGTTATTGAGGACCTATTTTGATATGAATAGATTTCTGCAACAGAAGTGCAAATATTATCTGAGACCAATATTATATGACAAACAAGACTCAGATGTCCTTGATCACAGCGAAGAGCTTTGTTAAGAGCATTAGGCTGTTTTCTGGAAATGTCTGTGTCCTGCCCTTTCTCAAGAGCTAGATGATTGTAAACGACATAGAAACTATAGCTATTGGTGCTGATTCTATCTATGCATAGATGAGAAACAAAGTCTTTGAGAGAATTTAATAATTCTTACTAAAAATACTTAAAATGCAAAATAAGAAAGCCATTTAAATATAATAAAGCAACTTAACAAAATAAAAGCAATTAATTTTATCTGCATTAGCGAAATAATAAAATAATTTCAGTTAAAATTAGGGAGAGAGTTGGAAGCTGTCATGATCATCATCAAGCGTAAAGAGAGAATAAAATAAAATAACAGGTACTAACATTGGGAAAATAATCTTTTTGATGATTATATCTTTGCATACATAGAAAACTCAGGATACTAAAGTAAAAAAATATTAAAATTAATCAAAAAATTTGTAAGCTATATGGACACCAGACAAATGTTAAAGAAGATTTTTTTTTGTTATTTATGTTTAAAAAATGGAGAAAATGATTTTTATAATATGATATAACTATAAAAATCTCAGGAAAAAATTAACAAGAAAGATGCAAAGACATTTTTGAAGAATACCATAATAGATACCTTATTTTAAAAAATCTATAGTGGAAATGCAGATCTTTTCTTGAATGGGAAGATCTATCATGATATGTAAATCTCTATATTAATATGTAAACTAAGATACCTACTAGATTCTTCATTGGATAAAATTATTATAAATATATGCAAACTACATTTCTAAAATTCATCAAGAAATAATAAAAAAGAATATGTTTTTGGTTTAAGAATAGAAAATAGAAGAAAAGAATATAATAAAGAATTTTGAAAGACATCCAAGTACATTTGAGAATGTAAGATATGATAAAATGTATAGTACAATGCAGTAAATTAATTATTTAATAAATAGTGCTAATCTAGAAAACAGTAAATGTGGACTTTGAATTATACTACCTAAAAAATATTTCAAAAGGATTAAAGATTTAAATATAGCAAAACAAAGCAAAAATATCTTTGCAAAATAGAAAATCAAAGAGAATACATATATAATCTATGGATAATGTAGACCTTTATCAAGTAGATAGCTCGAAATTATGAACAAAAAGATAGATAAATGAAATAAAGATAATGGAAGAGTATTAACGTCTTAATACTATACAGAAAGCCATATAACCCAATAAAAAATAGGCAGAGAATATAAGTAGACATTCCATCTAAGAGAAATATAAATGTCCAACTATATTAGCAAGTATTCAAATTCACTCATAGGGAAATTCAAAATCAAAAGCACGAAAACAATATTTTTGTCAGATACGGATAACAAACTTTTTTAAATTGAGACTATTTTTTTAGGAAGTGTTAGTGATGAGAAAGAACAAAGACTTCCCATATGGCCTCTGTCCCCATGCATGCAAATTAAATTTTTATACCTGTTGCTCACAGGGAGCTGGGGAAGCAAGTCTACTCATGCAGTGCTGGTGGAGGTGTTTCCTCTGGCTCCTGCTAAGGACAGTGGGGAAGGAGACTGCTCTTGCTTTGCCTACAGATGTGGTTACTATAGCTACTGATTAGCCACTGACCAAAGGTGCCATTTAGTTTTCTTCTATATTGTGACTTCCAACATATTCTATATATTTTAACAATTTTAACATGATCTGCTAAGATTATTTCCTTCTCTGATCTTATATTCAAATTATTTTCCTCTCAGTACAAGTTTGCAAGTCACTTCTAAATACTTTGTTGTTAGGCACTTGCTTACCAACAAAAAGATTTCAGTTTTTAGAGTCCACGTTTCATTTTTGGAAGATGTTATAAAAATTCATACATTCAGAAGTTTTGAATGAGGTTTCTAATAAAGTTTCCTTTACAATAGAAAGTCTGCTTTAAAATATGTGTTAGACCATTAGACAAACTATAGTATTGCTTATTTGGTTTTAGTTCAAATTAAACATCAGTTTGCAAACATTTCAAAATCAAGTGTTTTAATTCTTGACACTTAAAAATAGATGTGCAAACATCTGTACTTACAGTAGGTTTTGCAAAGGGAGAGGACAGTGGATCTTTCCATTGTGCTTTGATTTTTATGTTGGCAGCTTTTGTGATATAAGATATTAGCTTACAGACACATTTGTAGTGGCGTAATGGGGTGAGGTTGCAGTGACAATAACATCATTTAAAATGTTTGCCCTCGGAAG